GAAGAATTGATTGTCCGGGGTGAGGAATATGTTAGGATCTAAAAGATTAGCTTCGTTAAACTTAATATTAAACGATTAAAAATCGAACTACGTTGATAACACAACTTAGATATTAAGCTATTGAGGTATTTTATTTAAAATCACGTTTCCAAAATATCATATTTATCAGAACAAATACTTTTCAAATAATTAAGTAATTTATTATCCGTCTATTGTTTCGTAATATTTCAAATTAACAGCAACGTATCGTATGTAACTCTTATTTCTTTCACGATACTTAAATATTAGATCACTCGTTACAAGGTATCGCTTTTTTTATACTGGACATTCTCTCATAAAAAAATTATTAGGAAAAAGACGTCAAGATCACACGAGAAAGAATCAGATACCAGATTCATTTTTTATGAAAAATCAATACATGTCTTGTTCAGGATAATTTCTGCCGAGCATCAGGCGTCATCTTTTCGAGGTACATTTTTTACATGTCCGGTGGCGAAGAAATATTTCCGTTCGGAAATATTTCCGCGCGGCGTATCGCAGCGCGGAATTGCATTATCTGCAAAGTTCCTTTGAAAATGTCGCTCCCGCAACACACATTTCTCGCAACATTTCTCAGAGACAAAGCGCCGTTCGTTCGTTCGAGGACACACCACTATTATTCGCAACTACGCCATTCACACGATTACACGGTACAAACGACACGTGGCATACGCACACTTATCTGAACAGACACGAATACGTAACGCACATGAACATGCACACATCCGTACACGCTGATGTTGAAGCGTTATCGCAATGCTAAACGTCATCTGACACTCGGCCAATCCTTGGTTTCAGGTAAGGAAAAACTGGGCGTGCCACAAAACGAGAATGTCTCGCTAGTTTTGGAGTCGGACGGCACGCAAGTCGAGGACGGCGAGTACTTCAAGACACTAGGCAACAACACGATCCTGCTCTTGCTGCGGCATGGTGAACGCTGGTGTCCCACTGGCGTCGACATCATTCGCGCTGGTAGGTGAAAAGGCCCATTGCACGCCATTGATCTTAGGGGAAATCGGCAGCTTGGTTGAGGGATTTAAGGTTGAAGCAACACGGACGACAGAAAATTCGAAAGGATGTCTAAAGAAAACGATAATGTCTCTGAAGAATATAAAAGATTGCGAAATATCAGGAAGTTACGGTGTTTTTTTTTTTTTATAAACGTGTATTATTTGAGAGAGAAATTAAAGTCTCATTGAATTAATTTACAAATAAAAATTGGTTTCTTACACAGACCTTTAAACGATCAACCAAGTAGCTCTTCCTTCTACTATCAAATGTCTCGATTTTCTGGATTTTTGAACCCTCGAATATATAGCTGCTTTAGAATCATACGCGCTGCTATGTAAAGGGGATATTACAACGATCAACTTTGGTTGATGGAAATCGGCAACTTGGTTGAGGAAACTAACTTCGAGGCAACTGATAAAATTGATCAAACTGAATTACACGTGGATCAAACTGAATCCTTACACACACACAAGCCTTTAAACGATCAACCAAGTAGGTTTTTTTCTATTCTTAAGCTCTCTTTAGATGTTTTGAATTCTTTTACAATCTTCTTTATACTACCCGAAACCTCTATTTAGACTTTTAAATCTGTAAATTCTTTAGCTCCCTTAAGATCTGTGGATCTCGCACTCTTGCGATGGATCATCGGCACTGATTGTCACGTCTTGCAGCACCAAACACTACCCGTATCCTTGCTTTCGCATCCGCCAATAACTAACAACTCGTTCTTTTTCTGTATTCCCAGCAATTTCGGCGATCCCGAAAATAGTCTGCGAGACGATCCACGCGCTGGAGTTGCACGATGAGACGCCATCGTGGAAAATCATGGACAATAAAGGCCGAGTCACAGTGGTGCTACACTGGGACCAGCGCTCGTCGTCGTCGTCGCAGGTACAGCAGCAGCAATCGAAGGCAGGCCAGGATGCCCAGACTTCCAAGTACTCGCCGACTAAGAAAGTCGACCTGAGCGGCGCTCAACGGCCGTCCTTGGTGATCCAGACCAGCTTGGACAAGCTCGGCTATGACGGCAAGGCGACGCATCTGCCCGGTGAGATCGGCCCGACGCGGTACACCAGCCCGCGAATCACTGTGATAAATCATGACGATATGGTATTGAAACATTATGGTCTTATTCAAGCGTTCTCCCTTTTCAGATTTTATCTCGACTATTTTTCTAGTTCGCGATTTCTTAAAACTATTATATCATTTGCAATTAATGGGATTAGTGGTGGAACAGTCTAATTCATTTTCTTAAGATTCCGACAAAATGAAACCTCGGATATTAAAAAAAAAAAAAAAATAAAACCATTGCATTTTTCGATCTCAACTAGACTGACCGTTTCATCTGTAATTAAAGAAATCAATACAACATTTATTAATTTGCTAAGTTAATTTTTTTCAAATTTTTTAAAACAATGGACTAGATATATCACACTGTTGCATCGTTGCATCATCAAATCTTTGGATTTTAACTACGTTATTTCTCTCTTTTCCTCTCTCTTTTTTCGCAATTTTTATTTTACACGAACTAAACAATTATTATTAAACTCATTTCCATCCCAACAACAGCAACCAACACAGCCGCACATGCCGGGTCGCCTAGTAAAACAGGGCACGAATTCGTTCGACAGCACGACCATCCACATTCACACGCCGGAGTGCTCAAATCACATCCATCAACCGGTCGCGCGAAACGGCAGCCCGGTGAACGGTGCTGACGGCGGCGCCGTTGGCGAGTGCGACTTCCATTGCTGCGCCCTGCACGAGGAGGGCCGTAGAATCGCTGTGCATAAGTCGGTGGCAACGTCGCCGATCCAGGATGCGCAGCATGCACAGTATCAACATCCTCATCATCCGCATCAACAGCAACAACAGCAAACGCAGACGCAGACACCATCGCCACAGCCGCCATCCTCTCTGTCGGACGGCACTAAGCGGCCCGGCCTTAGCAAAGGTCACGTTCGCTTTCGCGACACCGCCGACGAGGAGTCGACCTCGCGTCTGATCGGCACCACCAGTTTCCATCTGCATCATAATCATCATCATCACCATCAAGAGCATGACAGCTCCGAGTCTGAGACGGAGAACACGATAATGGAAGACGAGATCGTGACCTCGGAGAAATTTCTGCTTTTGATCGACCAGCTAACGGTTGACCAGAAACATCATCTTAGCATCAAGGACATCGGTATCATACTAGAACGACTCAGCTCCAAAATCCTTGACGTCGAGCGATTGGATCGCGAAAGCGAGAGCGAAGAGTGCTACAATTGGACGATCAAGGCGATCATCCGGGGCGATGTTCTGCGGGAGCTCGGAGTGATTTATAACGGGAACTACTATGCGATTTCGGAGCATCCCGGCTACAAGGAGGAGTCCGAGGAGAATAACGAGGATAATGAGGAGGAGGAGGAGGATAGACTTTAATATGATGCTGTTTTACTAGATAGATAGATAGATAGATTATACACCTATTCCTGGTTATTATTAACTTAGGACATGTTGTAAACGGAAATAAGGACGGGGAACATTATGTGGTCACACTCTCTTGGATTCGAGGATTTTCCAACTTTTTTGTGATTTTTTCCGAGAGTCATAACATTTCTTGGAATCTTCCGTAATCCTTCAAGGATTCCCCGAGAGCTTCCTTCCTTGAGTCTTCCTACGATTGCCAAATATTCTTTTAATAATAAGAAACGAAGTAGCTTCGTTTCGTGCCAAATACATCTATGAAAGTTCTAGAATTAACGCGGAATTTCTCGATTCTTGAATGATATATAACTATGTAAAAATCATCCAAGATTTGGTGAATTAAGAATTCTTTAAATCTAGTCTTCTAGGATTTTCTAGAATGTTCTTCAACTTTTTCTAAGATTTCAGAATTTCCTCTTCTCTCTCTCTCTCTCTCTTGCAGAGTCCCCCAAAAATTTTCTTTTTTAGAAATTTCCGATGTTATGATCCTGTAAAATTTATAATATTAATCTCATTAATTTTTTAGAAATCTCTCAAAATTTCTTAGTTTTAGAAATATCTAAAGAATATGTCTATGTTTGATTTATAATTTTTCGATATGTTTTTAGAACTTTTGATTTCAAAATTCTTGAAAGAAATTTTTAAATGTTATTATTTTCGATACCTGTATTTTTTGAACTACTAAAAATACTAGTTTTTTGAATTTCGGTAGTTTATTTGGATAAATTAAAAATTTAAATCCCTTAAATTTTAAATGCGCCGTAGATCTTAAATGTTATAAAACATTTTCACAGATTCTATAAACACTGTAATCCTAGGTGCCTTAGATTCCAGGTACCTTCAATCGCACAGATTTTAGATTCAAACATCTTAGGTTCTAGATGTCTTAGATCGCAGATACTATAAATTCTAGGTTATTTAGATCTTAGATTCTTCGTATATATATTCACGATCTTGATATTAATTTTAAATTTTTTTAAATCTTGACATATAATACTTTCGATTTTTTAGTCCTGTATTCTAAGTGATTTCTCGAACTATTGCATAATTTCCTACATAAAGTTCCTTGTATCTCCTTGTATATTCTGGCTACAAGGAGAAATTATAGGAAAAAAATAAGAAGAATGATAGATAATTTAATGTTATATTTTGCTGAATAGATAGATAATAATTAAAAAATTCTGTGCAATTTAGTTTCTTCTTTCATTTCTTTCATTGTTCGGACTACAAATATTAATATTCAAATTGAAAAAATTAAATATAGATCAATTTTCTAAAGCTCTTACCAAAATGAGTAATGTTATGTCAAATCTTATCAATTATCCAATGAAATTCTCCATCATTTATGATGACTCTGCATATGAATCTATGAGCAGCCTAACAATTCTCAGTTTTTTTTTTGTTGTTCACGAAATCCTCGGATCAAAGATAAGGTCCACGAAAAAGCGAAAGGTGTGCGAATCGCATTTGCGTTGCGGGGAAAAACCTAATTCTAAGATCGAAAGATGACAGAGGGTAGATCGATGAAAAACGCCACTACTCCCTTCCGGAAATGTTTCGTAATAAGAAAGAAAAAGGAGAAGAGAAAACAAAACGGAGGGGTAGGAGGAGAGCGCATCATAATGGAATCATGTAATATGATACAACTTTATTAAAAACCTAGTTCTAAAGACGGTTGTTGAGAAATATGTACTTATTAAAACTAGCATGTATACTTGTAGGAAACATTTTTGGGATTACGGACACCGATTCCGTAACCGTCCACAACACTGCCCTATCTAAAGTGGAGAGACAAAGTAGAAGAGAGTGAGAAATAGAGAAAGAAAGAGAGAGGAAAGAGAATAAACTAAAAGATGTGAATATATATAATGAGTAATAATTCGAGACTCGACTAAACTCAATGACATAATTCTTTTTCTTCGCTCGTAACGCGCCGTTAATTAATCCTTATTGCAGGATTCAAATGTAGTTTTTGTAATCTTGTTTGCAATTCTCTCTATGATTAACTTAATTTTATATCTCAATATTCTAAAATATATAATTTAAATTTATGAATAAAAAGTTCTAAGTAGCCTTTTGAATTTCACTAACTAAATACTAAATTCTTTAAGCTCTCATTGTAGAATATAATTTCTAGATTATAATTTTTCTCAAGTTTTGAACGATATATTTTAGCATTTAATTTCATCGAACAATGTAGAGCACATTTAAGAATTTATAACTCATAAATAATTAGCATAGTAAAATGAATCTGTGCGTGTTATATCTGTTTTTCAAATAAAATTCTGAGAGATATCTTGCAATAAAGGATTAATTTACACTTTTAATAGGCGCGATCAAGAATGTGAAAATCTCGCGAAGGTGCAAGATATGATCGTCGACGTCGGGAACGATCGATGATCTCGAACGGCGGGTGAATAACACATGGCGAGCACATGTATCGATCCATCAGATCGCCAAAGAATGCTCACTATCAATATTAAATATGAATAAATGTAATCGCGTGGCTGCCTTTTATTCATCGAACATCGCGGACGATTCACTGCGCAAAAATCGACATCAAAGTTAATGAGAAAGTGACGCGACAATGAATTTGTTGATTTCTCGCCGACGTAAATTCTCGCCGACGTAGACTTGTGAAACATGTTCTTGTAGCCTAAGATCTTCGAATCCTCCGGATTCTGCGATCTTCGATCATCTGGGTACTAGGTTCTTTAAATTCCACTTTTTTATAATTTAAATTATTTTTTGAATAATGGTTTAATTTTAGTTTTTAGATTTTATTTTAATTTTTTATAAATCTCTTTCGTGAATTTTATAATAAATTGCCTAAGTGAACAAAATTTTTCAATATTCAATCTTTCGATTTGCTTATTTCTTAAAATTTGTTTATTCTTGTTTAAATCAGCAATTCTTAATATTCTATTAATTTTCATAGAATCTAGTACTCACTTCACTCATTTTGGCTCGTTGCAGCTGCGGTATTTCAGATTAGATCCGCGAATGAAAATCGCATTTCATTCAAAGCGGAGCTCATACACTAAGACAGCATCGTTCAAAGCTCTCTAATCTTCCTTTCAAATATTAAATCAGTGCGTAATTACATTTTATTTCTTCTTTGATAATTGCTAATTATTTAGAAAAGATATCGTCAAGTTATTTATCTATTTCCAATAGTAGAGAATCTCATTTTTTCTGTAATTTTATATACATATTTTTAGCTCTCAAATGGCAATAAGACAAAGATATTTGAGAAGTTAAGGAACATATTGTTATTGCCTTCTTCTTATGAGCTATATATGTATACAATAAAATAGTATTCTCCAATTTGTTGTATTTAATAATTCATTAACTCTTCTTTTTTTATATATTTATTATGATCAAAGTTATTAAGCTTTAATTTAATATTCTGTCTAACAAGAAATTAGTATTGACAAGTATTGAGTTTATTTTACGAGAAGAAAGGAAATTGAAAGTTTTGAACGGCGCTTCAAGAACACATATGCATACATATGCGCGCGTATAGATTACGTGTAATGGTATAAATATAGTCGGAATTATTCGGAATTTACGTTAGCGGATGTATTACATGATTATATAAGTGATATATCGATACGTGTCGGGGATACGCTCTATGTGAAACTTTGCAATTTTAATATATTTCTATTGTAAGTATATTCGAGAAACAGTATGTGTGTGTATGTATGTGAGATAAAAAGAAAAGAAAGAGAGAGAGAGAGAGAAAGAAAGCAAGAGGCGATGGCACACGACGCGCGGAAGGTATTCGATAGCGTATATAAATATATACATATATACATATATATATATATATATATATATATAGATATACATATATTATATAATAATACAGCGAACTGTCGTGAGGAACTACTTTACACATACGGGTCGTTTCGTTAAGGCCGACTCGAGGAACGCTCGAGGGCAAATTTGGGGCGACTCAAGAAAAAAAAAAGATGCACCCGCGTATAAAGGAAGGAGTTAAATTCGTCGTTCCGTTGGCGTTAAGATTTTTCCATGTGTCTTATCTCATCTCATACTTCGTTCGCGATCATCTTATCTTTAATACGCTTTATTAAATCTCAAGATTGTTGGAATCTAGGAATATTCTGAGGGTTCCATCGATCCTGCGGATCTCTCGAATCTTCCACATTCGCCGATTTACTCGAATCCTCGGAATCTAGGATTTTAGTTTCCTCCGATTTTAGATCTCACGGATTTGAAATTACAAATTCCGCGGAGGATCTTCTCGAAGATAGATTCTTTCCAATTTAAAATTTCGCGATTCTTTTAAGTTACTATAAGATTCTAGGTTTTTTAGATTTTGTACTTCTTGGTATTTAGATTGTTCAAACTATATTTTGCACTCTGTTATTTTCATAGATCATCGCATCATTAAACTCTCTTCATGGATCTTCGAACCTCGATATTTTCACTTTCTAAGGTCACGTGAAGAAGGAACTTAAGATAATCACAGAAAGATATGAGAAGGGTGTCGAGAGAGCAAAAGGAGAAGGGGGAAACTATAAATAGAATGATTTCGATTTGTCGAATTGGATCATACATTTTTTTCGTTGTAAAAGAACGCATGCTTTTGCAATAAAAAAAATGAGAGAGAGAGAGAGAAAATAGAAGAAAAGATTTCTGCTCCCGAGAACTATTTCATGATAAGAAAAAAACCCTTTACAGGTTTCTGGTCTCGTAGTGCCACTTTAAATAATAATGAATAATAATATAATAAAATAAAACAACAACAAATAATATATTAATAATAACAATAAAATAATAATGATAAAAAGAATAAAAAAATTGTTATAAGTTGTAACTGTTGTTTCTGGTACATGCAGATACTATACACATACACCCTAAACTAAGGATATGGCCTCCGTTGTTTATTTAAACATAACTTCGTCCTATGATCCTTTTGTGCAAAGAAAGCAATGTCCTGGAATTATATACAAATAGATAAATTAACCCGTATGTTACATATTTCGCTTATATCGCACAAACATAGCAATCATTAGAATGATTTATTTATAATTATTACAGACTTCTTGTATCTTTTTAGAACAAGAGCCATAAATTCATAGATTCTTGAATTTTTCTTAAATTTTTCTGCAACCCTAATTTCATATCAGATCTTCAAATCCTGATCTTATAATTCTGATAATATTTATACTATGCATAATTTTTATATATTATTGAGTAATTTATGTTATTTATAATACACACTTTTTCAAATGTTTCTGATCGTATAAAATATTATTAATGTCGGAGAAGAGCTTTATTTTACAAGAATATTTGCAACATTCTTGTTTATGTTATCCTTGTTTACGTGATTTGTTGCCTAAAATATTGTTGCAATTTTTGTGTCATTTTACGCATAACGCATAATAGCGCGACTTTTCCTCGATCTATCGATTGATCGATCTACAGCAAGCAACTGACGATCAACGTAAGGGAGAGATCTAGCGTAAGCAACCTCGCATTATGATTACCTCTATGTATCTGCATGACCACATTACAATAACCTCTAACTACTTTTAAAAGGAGAAAAAACATAGCAACTACTCGATGTAGCAGAAAAGAAACTCTATACAGAGCGTTCCAAAAGTATGTGCCAAACGCGTGTCAAGAGTACTCGGTGCTAGTATTTTATCTTCGCGACGACAATCTTTCCCACTATAAATGCCCTCTTGTATAATCCTATATAAATTCTTAAGAATACTTATGTTTTGAATATGTTTCAGCGTTTCTTTTAAACGCTTTTCGAATACGACATTTTTCAAAATATCTATTTAAATATTAATTCATGAATTCACGGATTCCATAAATCTTATATGATTTTAAATTGATTTTGACTCAAATAGAATAAAATTCTTTTTTCAAGTAAGATATATGTTGCGAGACATTAATTTTTGTCGCGAGAAATCAATTATTGTCGCGCAAAACTTTCGGAGCATTCTGTATAAATATTCGTATCGATCGCGAAGTACATTTAGCATCTCTTGTCGCGTAGCGATTATTAGCTCGTATTAATGGATAAATGAAGTAATTAATTAATTACGTTAACTTATGGAGGTAAGATTCGAAACAATGAAGCAGGGGAGTAAATCAAAAGATGGGGATTCCTGCGAGATTTATTCAGGACGAGGTACTTAGGAGGAGTCTTCCCTCGCGAGAGGCACGCGTTGCCCTATATACACGTATACAATATGCCAAGAAAGCACTCGCACATCATCATGGTTTTATTATGTGAATATTATATTATACTCTTTTCATCGTGTATTTATATTATGTGGCAAACAAAATTATTCATCAGCATAAGTATAAAGATTTATTATAAATATAATATATATAATAAATTTTTTCATATTAAATTATAAAATTTTATTTCTTTTAAATTCTATGGATCTCTCGGATGATAAAATTTTCCTTGTAATTCTAAATCTTCTAAATCCTAGATTATTTATTGTTAAAATATGTACATATTTAAATTACAGAAACTTTGGAATTATTTAAATATTCACTTAATTAAATGCTAAGTTATTATACTTATGCAACTTCACATAATACAAATACACTATTACATAATTACAGAATAAGTTTACAGCGCTTAATTAAAACTATATCTTTTAAGATGAAGTATGGCGCGAGTGCTTTCTTCGCATACCATGCATATTTATACATAATATAAACTATATAATATAAACTAATCATGATTTGCAATCCTACAGTGCACTGTCGAAAACGAAACATAAAACAAGTAGTGCAAATTAAGGGTTTTTTAAGCATTAATGATGAAAGAAAAAGAGAGAACTAATGTACTGACGATGACGACTTTTTTAACGTTTTATCGCGTTACGGAGTATAATATGTGTATATATACATAAATGCATAACATATATCCACAGCAAGAACACACGTAGACCACATGTGTCTATGTATATACATATATATACAATTCATATAATCGCGCGTGCGTGAAAGTGTGCGTGTGCGTGTCTGACAAGTGTGCAGCAAGCATGTAAATAATAAAGACCGTATAATACCATAATTATCCACGAGAATCTATAATTGCCAAGTGTATAAGTCACAATATACATATATTATATAATAATACAGCGAACTGTCGTGAGGAACTACTTTACACATACGGGTCGTTTCGTTAAGGCCGACTCGAGGAACGCTCGAGGGCAAATTTGGGGCGACTCAAGAAAAAAAAAAGATGCACCCGCGTATAAAGGAAGGAGTTAAATTCGTCGTTCCGTTGGCGTTAAGATTTTTCCATGTGTCTTATCTCATCTCATACTTCGTTCGCGATCATCTTATCTTTAATACGCTTTATTAAATCTCAAGATTGTTGGAATCTAGGAATATTCTGAGGGTTCCATCGATCCTGCGGATCTCTCGAATCTTCCACATTCGCCGATTTACTCGAATCCTCGGAATCTAGGATTTTAGTTTCCTCCGATTTTAGATCTCACGGATTTGAAATTACAAATTCCGCGGAGGATCTTCTCGAAGATAGATTCTTTCCAATTTAAAATTTCGCGATTCTTTTAAGTTACTATAAGATTCTAGGTTTTTTAGATTTTGTACTTCTTGGTATTTAGATTGTTCAAACTATATTTTGCACTCTGTTATTTTCATAGATCATCGCATCATTAAACTCTCTTCATGGATCTTCGAACCTCGATATTTTCACTTTCTAAGGTCACGTGAAGAAGGAACTTAAGATAATCACAGAAAGATATGAGAAGGGTGTCGAGAGAGCAAAAGGAGAAGGGGGAAACTATAAATAGAATGATTTCGATTTGTCGAATTGGATCATACATTTTTTTCGTTGTAAAAGAACGCATGCTTTTGCAATAAAAAAAATGAGAGAGAGAGAGAGAAAATAGAAGAAAAGATTTCTGCTCCCGAGAACTATTTCATGATAAGAAAAAAACCCTTTACAGGTTTCTGGTCTCGTAGTGCCACTTTAAATAATAATGAATAATAATATAATAAAATAAAACAACAACAAATAATATATTAATAATAACAATAAAATAATAATGATAAAAAGAATAAAAAAATTGTTATAAGTTGTAACTGTTGTTTCTGGTACATGCAGATACTATACACATACACCCTAAACTAAGGATATGGCCTCCGTTGTTTATTTAAACATAACTTCGTCCTATGATCCTTTTGTGCAAAGAAAGCAATGTCCTGGAATTATATACAAATAGATAAATTAACCCGTATGTTACATATTTCGCTTATATCGCACAAACATAGCAATCATTAGAATGATTTATTTATAATTATTACAGACTTCTTGTATCTTTTTAGAACAAGAGCCATAAATTCATAGATTCTTGAATTTTTCTTAAATTTTTCTGCAACCCTAATTTCATATCAGATCTTCAAATCCTGATCTTATAATTCTGATAATATTTATACTATGCATAATTTTTATATATTATTGAGTAATTTATGTTATTTATAATACACACTTTTTCAAATGTTTCTGATCGTATAAAATATTATTAATGTCGGAGAAGAGCTTTATTTTACAAGAATATTTGCAACATTCTTGTTTATGTTATCCTTGTTTACGTGATTTGTTGCCTAAAATATTGTTGCAATTTTTGTGTCATTTTACGCATAACGCATAATAGCGCGACTTTTCCTCGATCTATCGATTGATCGATCTACAGCAAGCAACTGACGATCAACGTAAGGGAGAGATCTAGCGTAAGCAACCTCGCATTATGATTACCTCTATGTATCTGCATGACCACATTACAATAACCTCTAACTACTTTTAAAAGGAGAAAAAACATAGCAACTACTCGATGTAGCAGAAAAGAAACTCTATACAGAGCGTTCCAAAAGTATGTGCCAAACGCGTGTCAAGAGTACTCGGTGCTAGTATTTTATCTTCGCGACGACAATCTTTCCCACTATAAATGCCCTCTTGTATAATCCTATATAAATTCTTAAGAATACTTATGTTTTGAATATGTTTCAGCGTTTCTTTTAAACGCTTTTCGAATACGACATTTTTCAAAATATCTATTTAAATATTAATTCATGAATTCACGGATTCCATAAATCTTATATGATTTTAAATTGATTTTGACTCAAATAGAATAAAATTCTTTTTTCAAGTAAGATATATGTTGCGAGACATTAATTTTTGTCGCGAGAAATCAATTATTGTCGCGCAAAACTTTCGGAGCATTCTGTATAAATATTCGTATCGATCGCGAAGTACATTTAGCATCTCTTGTCGCGTAGCGATTATTAGCTCGTATTAATGGATAAATGAAGTAATTAATTAATTACGTTAACTTATGGAGGTAAGATTCGAAACAATGAAGCAGGGGAGTAAATCAAAAGATGGGGATTCCTGCGAGATTTATTCAGGACGAGGTACTTAGGAGGAGTCTTCCCTCGCGAGAGGCACGCGTTGCCCTATATACACGTATACAATATGCCAAGAAAGCACTCGCACATCATCATGGTTTTATTATGTGAATATTATATTATACTCTTTTCATCGTGTATTTATATTATGTGGCAAACAAAATTATTCATCAGCATAAGTATAAAGATTTATTATAAATATAATATATATAATAAATTTTTTCATATTAAATTATAAAATTTTATTTCTTTTAAATTCTATGGATCTCTCGGATGATAAAATTTTCCTTGTAATTCTAAATCTTCTAAATCCTAGATTATTTATTGTTAAAATATGTACATATTTAAATTACAGAAACTTTGGAATTATTTAAATATTCACTTAATTAAATGCTAAGTTATTATACTTATGCAACTTCACATAATACAAATACACTATTACATAATTACAGAATAAGTTTACAGCGCTTAATTAAAACTATATCTTTTAAGATGAAGTATGGCGCGAGTGCTTTCTTCGCATACCATGCATATTTATACATAATATAAACTATATAATATAAACTAATCATGATTTGCAATCCTACAGTGCACTGTCGAAAACGAAACATAAAACAAGTAGTGCAAATTAAGGGTTTTTTAAGCATTAATGATGAAAGAAAAAGAGAGAACTAATGTACTGACGATGACGACTTTTTTAACGTTTTATCGCGTTACGGAGTATAATATGTGTATATATACATAAATGCATAACATATATCCACAGCAAGAACACACGTAGACCACATGTGTCTATGTATATACATATATATACAATTCATATAATCGCGCGTGCGTGAAAGTGTGCGTGTGCGTGTCTGACAAGTGTGCAGCAAGCATGTAAATAATAAAGACCGTATAATACCATAATTATCCACGAGAATCTATAATTGCCAAGTGTATAAGTCACACACACAATACATACGTCATATACATATATACATATATATATGTGTATATATATATATATATATATATATAGATATAATATGAGTTCGATGCACAATAGCGACAATCGCATTATCCTGTGCGATTTTCCCATGAGCGAATTTTTGCACCACTTTGTTCGTGAATTTTCTTGCAAAATAATGTCTAAACAAATTTGCGACTAATAAAAATACCGACACAATTTTTTATTCTTTGTCAACTCTTTAGATTCTCGCAGACGATTGGATTATTAGACTTATAAATCCAGGGTTGCCAATCCCTTCTTGGATTTTTATATCATTCCCCTTAAATCCTCTGAAAATCCTCTGAAAATTCCTCCGAAAATTTTATTTTATTTTATTTTTTTTTAAATATATTCGAGTTACATATATCCGAACTGTCGCCAACAATCGTTGGTAAAAAAATTCACCAACAAAAAGGCGGTGCAAAATGATTTCTGATGTGAACATCATCAATAATCAGACATTCCTCGTTAACCCTTTCTGGGCATATGTATAATGGCGTTCTTTCTTGGATACTTGGAACTATGATCAGATTTCATGCCATTTGTAGCTTAAGATGTGTAGTCCTATTTTTTTCACTCAAAAATAGGTAAATCAAGACTACAAAACAAGATGAAAGTGATATTTTTCATCCTGTAAACGTTTATCGTTATATAAATTTTGTGGGGTCCGACAGGCCCTACTTCGTGCCAGGCGCAGGAAGGGTTAACCCTTCCATCATAACCAATGTATAATCGATGCGTTTATTAAAAGGATCAGTATAAAGAAGTCGCAGGATAATGCCGGGAGAGATTGCTCGATTGTTGAAGAGGAATGTTCCGCGCTGACGTCGAGCTTATAAAGTTACTTAATGTTAGAGAGATGTTTTTACACGACTGCCACTTTACAATGACGTGAGATTACAATTGTTTGTTTCGGTGGCTGACGCGCATGTTTATCGCCGTCGCACGGTATGAAATTTTTGCCCAAACTATCGAAGAGAACAAAGATATTTCACCTATCTGCATTTTCTCTTATTTCAAGATTATATAATTTAAATATATATTAATTTAAAATTTATATATATATTTGAAAAATATAAATTGCATAAAAATTCTTGAATATAAAAAAATAAAAATAAGTTATATATAAGTTTTCTTTTTCAAAAAATAAAAAATAAGTTATATATAAGTTTTTTCTTCAATGCAAAAAAACATATAATTTTGTTATGTATATGTATACTCTGAATTATAAAACAATGAAATTTTTAATATTAAATTAGTTGTTTTTGTGTGTAATTTGTATAACTAATTAACTTTTTAATAGGTGTGTTTCCACAAATCAGAATCTCGTGTTGAGATTGATATTGAAGCGGTGAAATATAAAAAAAGATGAAATTCTAATTATTTCCGCATTCTGAACTTTAAGATCCTTTTCTGTAGATCTATTAAAATATATATAATAAAATTTTAAATTCTTACATGTGTTTTTAAAAAAACTCGAAACTATATATACAATATATATGTACCACAATTATTTATATAATAATTACGAAGTCAATATGGTAAACATTTTTTCTATCAATATTTAGACGCAGTTAGATAAAGTATTTTTGTTCTCCCGGATTGATAAAATTTCACACTATACGTCGATTTCATTTTCCGTG